GGGGGAAGCGAGGAGGCTGCCAGTGAGACAGCGGCTGACGTGCAGAGCGACGCCACATGACCCGATCCTCTGACCAACCAACCAGCTGGGCCGAGCCCGGCCGCGAAACGAGTGGCTCCGAGACCTTGACCCTCTGTGTGAGGCGGCGACAGTGGACCCGAGTGGACCGAGCGGGTGGGAGGAGACCAGAGCTGACTGGCAGCCCCTCACCAGGGGAAAGATGGAATGGGTGAAGGGCGGCCGGGCTGACAGCTGCGGGGAGCTTCCTTGCACAACCAGCCACAGTTTCCAAGGGTAAGTCCGTTCTCTGCACAGGGACGGTTGTTGCTGTGGCAGTTGGCGCAGCAGCCGGGAGGGTTAGTGGTGTGGGGGCTTCCCTCGCTCTGTTCCCGCACTTCAGTGAGTGAGTTCCCTGCACATGCCCAGAGCAAGCAGTTGTAGTTTTTTTGGGATTTAACTATCCTCCCTATAGTTTTTTATAGATTTCAGATTTTTCTGCACATCTGGGGATTGCTCCAAATGTGCAGGTAAATCTCCCTGCCCCCCAAGTGCTCTGATGTGCGGGGGGCGGCATGTTGGGAATTAGATATATAGATGGTTACTAAAAATTCTGTGGCATGTTGGTTCTCATCACTTACATGACATACATACATCAGCTACTTCAGGTCTGAAGCAGCAGAACAAAGTACGAGTCCAGTGGCGCCTTTAAGATGAACAGAGTTTTATTCAAGGTATAATAAGCTTTTGTGTGCACACACACTTGTACCTTGAATAAAGGTACCTTTAACCCTGAATAAAACTTTGGTGATCTTAAAGGCGCTACTAGACTCAGACTTCATTCAGCTACTTCAGTTATTTGAGTCATCTGAATGTTGTTCTAAATTGCCATCATCTCCTCATAACCTTCTCAAGATAAGAAGCCACAAAAGCTCTCACCACATCTCCACTGTAATGCCTAAACGCAAAGTATGAGAAAACGTGCAAGTAGTTTCTGCATCCGGACCTTGCTTGGGTTAGTTATTTGCCAAATGTTGCTTTCTGCCCCCCCCCCCCCCCCCCCGGGACATCTCTTGCGGCTTACTGGGCGTATAGAAACAATAGAAAACTGCATTGAACAGCAGCACTGAAACGGTACTCAGTAATAAATTGATTTTATTTTAAAGAAGAAGAAGAAGAAGAGGAAGAGATTGGATTTATACCCCGCCTTTCACTTGGAGTCTCAGAGCGGCTTACAAACTCCTTTCCCTTCCCCTCCCCACAACAGACACCCTGTGAGGTGGGTGGGGCTGAGAGAGCTCTGACACAAACTGCTCTTTTTCAAGGACAGCTGTGCCAGACCTTGTGACTGACCCAAGGTCACATCAGCAGGTGCAAGTGGAGGAGTGGGGAATCAAACCCGGTTCTCCCAGATTAGAGTCCGCACACTTAACCACTAAGTATTTAACAATGCTGTAAATAAAGAGCATGCATGCACCACAGGTAAGGTCTTTCTTGTAGACGTCTACCTTGCTTCCATTGAAAATCTTCACTAGCAGGCAGGCACAGAGAGAAAGGTGGTCCCTCCGAACACTTTGGGTTTCTACATTCCCACAGTTTGACTTCAGTTTTGGGGATTACATTGGTGGACATTTCTGTCCCATCTTTTTGTGGTAATGACTAAAGACACACTCATTGTTTTTTAAATCTTCTAGTTAGTCTATATAAATGTCCTTTCTCAATTCCCCAGGAGGCAGCCTTTGAGTATGTATAGCTTTATTGTGATTTAAAAGCTGTGATGGTGTTCTCTGGACCTCTGAATTTCAGGTGCATTTTCTTCTGCAGCTAGACCTGCATGAGATTTATCATGTCTGGATCTATCCTTTTTACTTCTATTTATTTATTTATATGCCACTGGGGACCCCAAGTCGGTTACATTCTACCCTCTTCCATTTTTATCTTCACAACACCCATGCGAGGTCAGTTAGGCTTAGAATGTGTGACTGGCCCAAGGTCACCCAGCAGCCTTCCACGGTGGAGTGGAGATTCAAAGCTGGTTCTCCCAGATTGTAGTCCGGCAGCCTAAACACTACACCACACCAGCAGCACGGTGTTTCTACCAGATGTCCTGATTCCTAAAGCAAGGTTGGGCAGCAATGTTTCCTCTAATCCCCCCCTCCCTTGAGCAGAGCATTTCACATCCTGAGCAGAATGTAACTTCTGTAATCTTAAAATGGCAATGGGCGGTGCTTGTCCAAGACCTTGCGTGGCTCCAGATTGCTGCTGAGCAGGGCTTCTTGTGTTAATGAGCAGCTGTTCATGTGCACAGCTTAGAGCTTAGAGCAGGGGTGTCAAACATAAGGCCTGGGGGCCAGATTCAGCCCATCCCCCCGGGGACATCTCTGCGGCTCTTAAGCAACTGGTATATATGGAAATGTAAGGTACTCCCCTTTTTATGGTATCCCTTGGAAAAAACCTAGTCTTACATATGATTAAATACATTTATTGGGGTTTCTGTGGGTTCCCCAGTAAATCAGTTGCTTTCACTGCTAGGAATCAATTGTCTTTGTTTGCATTTTCAATAAAAAAATAATATTGTTAATTGGGTTTGCTGGTGTCCTTATAAAGTTTATATCTCCAGTGCCTGGCGTTACATTTTATGGCACACACAGCCTGGCTCAACAAGGTGACATTTATGTCAGATCCGGCCCTCATAACAGATGAGATTGACGCCTCTGGCTTAGAGGGAACACTGGTGAGCAGTACAAAGCCCATGGCCTGTGTCAGGACTGGCTAGACTCAATCGGATCAGCATTGTTGCTGTCAAATGTGACCCAGAAAAGAACATGTTTTTAGAACAGTACTTTTTTGAAACCAGAAAAGAACATTTTTCAGTCGAAAGAGCCTTTTGCAGATCCTTCAAGCCCCTTGTGTTGGGCCAGTATGCTGAGTGTGTGGTGGCCGCTAACCAACGTGCAGTGACAGCCAAAAACATTTATTTAAATATTTATACTCCATTTTTCTTCTCAAAGTGGCTTATAGCATATAAAGTAGGTTAGGCTGAGAGAGAATGACTGGCCCAAGATCACCTAGCAAGCTTCCATGATAGAGTGGGTGTTCTAACATGGGTCTCTTAGATCCTGTTCTGGAATTCTAACCTCTGCATCATCTAGTGATTGTGTATTTTCCTGCTGCCTTTGCATAACTTAAAAGCTTCTTTGCACTGAACCAAAGGGTGACCACTTGGGAAGTGTGCATAATATTAGCTGTGGAGCAATACTTATATGGCAGAATTGTGGGTTTGTCTCTCTTTACAACAGATTCAGCAGAAGTCTATGCATGTTTACTCAGAAGTAAGTCTCACTGTGTCCAGTAGGTTTTGTTTCTTCGTGAACAGGATTTCAGCTTTAGAATGTTGTTATGGTTTTTTTAGTGGCTCAATAATTACTTATGAAGTCATGTTCTAGGTTGAATGCCCACCGCTAGAGATCTTGAGAATTCGGGGCCCTAGCTTTAAGCAGTGCATTATCCGTAACAACTATAAACTTGTTGTGTAAAGGATATCAACTAACTGGTGGCAGTATGGCTTTTCAAGTTAGATTGATACTCCCTGGATCTGGGAACAGGGGTATGCAAAGATGAGGGGGAAGGAATATGAATGCTTTACTTGTATTCTAATTGTATTTTATGAATTGTTGTAAGTCGCCCTGAGCCCACCTTGGTGGGTAGGGCGGGATATAAATTAAATAAAGAAACGAAGATCTGTTGCTACAATTGTGTCAGGAATTGAGCAAACCTGGGGAGGGGGAAAGGGTGGAAGTCACACGGGTTGAGAATTAACTGAGCAATGAAGGGGAGGGGGAGAGGGGTGATTTAGAGAGAGAAGTAGGCAGTGGTGTGGTGCTTAGAAAACCAGGTGTGACTAGGGGATGCAGGGAATTCATTCCTCAAATTAACATCATTGTATCAGAAAACAAATTAAGGAATATGAGCACTCGTGTATTTATCATTATGCATATATTTAGGCCAGAAATCGCATTTTACCAAATTCAGAAAGCATCTCTGCTCTCTCCCATTTGTTTTTAGAAGTCGTTTAAGAGTATGAGCCATTATATGTATAAAATTTGTCATAATGCTTGCATAGTATTTGTGTTTCCTGACAAAATTCATAAATTCCCTCATTGCTTTTTATAACATTTTGCCACTTCTCTGATCTTTCTTTATCATACTCCCACTTGCTTCAATTGTATCTCTGAGGTACCCTGAATAACATTAAGGTAATCACAAAGTTCTTTTCAATGTGTTAAACCTTTCAGCCACAATACAAACTCACCTGATAGCCCCCTTCAGTCATTCCCACCAGGGAACCATCTCTTCAGAAGGCTTCAAAAGTTTGGTAGTCCACTATCCGAATCACCTCTTGTTCTAGATGGAAAGATTTTAATACTTTACCACGTATTCTTCATCTGGGAATTGGCCTAAGTCTTTGATATTGGGTTTTAAATGCAGTATTGGGTTTCTTTATAAAACGTTGAGGATGAAAACATATATCCTGATTTGGAAGCCTGCATATGTGAGGGATTGGCAGTATGTTGATTTCTGTATTTTCTTCCCTGTATATGTCAGGGAAAGGAGAGGATGAGTTTTTGTCAGTGAAATGAGCTTCTTTTTAAAAATTGTTATTTTAATGGTTGTTTTAATGATATTATATTAAAATTGATGTAAAGTGCCCTGAGCCCACCTGCGGGGAGGGTGGTATATAAATCAAATTAATTAAATAAATAAATAAACAAGGAAGCCAGTTTTCATGGAATGTGTACATATTGGAGTTCACAGATTCAAAATAGACTGTGACTTTACAATGTGAAAAAGCTAAATAAAACTATGGTTACTTGGGAACTTGTTTGTAATGACCATTTAACCTTGGAGTGTGAGAAATGTTTCTTGAAATTTGGAAAAACCTGCTTAGAAAAATCCAAATTGGGTTTTATTCAGTTTTGCCCTTTTGTGCTTTTCTCTTACAGATCTTTCACTGCTGCGGTTCATTAACGCAGAGCTAACCAGAGGTTACTTCCTTGAGCATAATGAAGCAAAGTACACAGAACGGAGAGAGAGGGTATATACGTGTTTGCGGATACCTAGAGAACTAGAAAAGGTAAACAGCAGTCTTTTTAGCTTAATATGTGCAGGTTCTGATTTTGTTATACAAAAGTAACAACTGCAAAACAAGCCTTTTAGAATAAGTGTGTTTTTAATGGAAGAGTAGCAGATATGATTCACTCTGACTTGCATTCTGCTTCTTTATACGTGTATACAGATCGTGTAAACAGATGCCCTACAAGAACAAAATGGATCATGTGATTTCATAAAAGGCAAATGGAAGAACTGATATCACACCTTATTGTTTTGCTTCAGCTTTGAGCCATCAAAGAACAGTTTATAGCATTTGCTTATTCAGTGTATAGGCTGGGTTCCCAAGAAGTGATGTTGTATCAAGGAGAACATCATGTGCAGCCAGAGCATCATTTGTTATTTCTTTTCCTATGGTGGTTCTGCTGTCAAAAGAGATAAGCTGATTTAAATGCGGCTTAGCTCTGGCAGTGGGAAATGCTGCAGAGAAGATAGCAAATGAATGCCTTTCACAGTATTAGGTGTGGCTTGCTGGCTTAGGAAGCAGTTCTGTGAATTGGGAAATTACTCAGGTGGTTGCAAACACTTTACATGAATGATTTTTTTTTTGACATTTAAAGTTTTTTATTTTGATTATAACAGCATATAATACAATAATACAACTTTGAACTTGGATAGACTTACATGCAATTGCATACTAATCTGTTTAACTTTTTTGGAAAGTTGATCTAACACTATACATTTCTTACAGAAAGGGTGTAACACATATGGTAATTACTTGTGGATTAAAGTACATAACTTATTATAAGACAGTTATTTAGGTTAACCAGGTTAGCAAAGTAGGAGAAGGTAGAGTGAAATCTATGAACTGAGGATATAAGAGGGGAACATGCATTATAATTATAATAAGAACATCAGATCCGTAGATGAAATTGGGTCCATTGAGATGACACATACTGTTGCTGGGACAAGTATTCCAGAATTGGATACCATTTGCTAGTGAAAAGGTCTTGATTTGCATTTTGGGAGGAGTAAGACAATCTACTGGTGATAGCTACATGAATGATTTTGTTATAGCACTTTATACGTTCACGACGCTAAACAGATGCTAACTGGCATTGTTACTGACTGGATCATGTTTTTAGACTTGCATAAAAATTATCGGGTGTCTTCTAAAATTGCTCTCTGTTGATGTTTCCATCTAAACTTTGTTTGGTGGAAGAAATTCAAGTAATTTTAAAGAACTGCTTCATTTAGATCTGTGTTGTAATTTTTAAAAAATGGAGAGAGAAGTGATACTTTCTGATGTTTTCACTTCAGTGAAGCTGAACAAAAGTTAGGATTGGTGTTCCCAGTGTTCAAGAGCATTTGATTGGGGCAATTTCACATATGGCACAAGTCAGACTCATGTTATTATATTGAATTTTCACTTGACAGTGAGCTGCAGTCAATCCTGGTTCTCTGATCAGTGTAACTTTATGACTTGTGTCTGTTGCATTAGCTGTTACAGGTTGGTCCAGACAGCTTTTTCACACAGTCCTGCCCGGTTTCCCTTCTTGCCACAGCTTTCTTTCCACATGATTTTTGTGCATGCAGGTTCCATGAATCCCAGCAAAGCATTTTTTCGTTTACACAGGGAAGCCCCTTATTAGTTTTTCACCAGCTGAAAAGCTGATTGGATCCAACCATATATTTTAATGCACTCTTAAACCATTGAAACTGGGTACTTAAAACACTTATCTGGACCATAAGAATCATGAGTAGGATCACCACTTGGTGAACAGAATGCTCCACCAAAAGTGGCTCCAGATGAACTGAGGGCTTCAGCTATAGCGGGAAATCTGCAGAAATCTCAGACAAGCATTTCACCTTTGGGCAAAGTTCCCTGTAAGATGCACTAGCACACAGTTTCCCCCACCTCAGTGCAGGGATTTTCATCCCAGTGCAGCAAGTCTGAGAAGTAGGTGGCCCCACCCTCCCTCCTGTTGGCCTGGCTCAGCTGAGCTAGTTAACTGTTTTGGGTGGAGGAGGTCCATGTGGGTCCTATAAAAGGAGCTTGCGCTGGCCCTTGTGTTGTGCCAGTTGGCAAGACCTCAGAGAGTCACGGTTGGAGCCCCTGCTGTGGCTGAAGACCTGCTGCCCCGCCCCACATCAGGTGAGTTGATTGACCCTCTCTGCCAGGGTGGGGGTTGTAATCCCTTTGCAAGGGAGGGGGGGAGAGGGCCACAGCCAGGCTGCGTGGTTCCTTCCCTTCCCAATGGCTCTTTAACTAGAAGGGGAGAGCCAAACTGAGCACTCTGATGGCTGCACACTATTAGAGGGGGCTCTCTTTTTTCTTCCTTCCGCCCCCCTCCCTCTTCCCATCTTTTTGCTGTCTTTCCTTTTTTCCTTTTCTCACTCTCTTTCCCCTTCTTCCTTCCATTCCGTTCCTTTCCTTTTTCTTTCCCTCCCTCCCTCCCTCCCTTTTCTCTTTCCTTTTTTTCCTTTCTTTTTGTTTGAGAGCCACAAGGCATGAACACGCATGTTCTTATTGAAAAATATGCAAATTTCCATATTAAACTAAAGAGACAGATGCCTTCCCCGAGCCAAGCCAGTCTGCTGGTGTGACGAGGCTTGGAGAACACATTTAACTTTAGGTGGGGAGGGAGGGAAGAAAGGTGAAAAGCAAGTGGAAAGAAAGCAAATAGATGGGGGAGGGGGGAGAGGTGGAAAGAAAACAACTTTAAATGTGTCCTCCAGGGAGGCTCCCCACCAGCTGGCTTGGCTTGGAAAAGGGATTTAAAGAGACACAAATGCCTTCTCCAAGCCAGCTGGTGGGGGTGGGCTTTGAGAGCACATTTAAAGTTGCTTTCTTTCTCTGTTTCCCCCCATGTCAAGCCTACCCAGGGAGGGGAACTCTGGCTGGGGAAGAGAAGACCAATTGGGGAGGCATGCCTCCCCTTTGCTTCAGCCGCCCTGCCAGGAGCCACAGTTTGGCCACCCCTGGCCTAGAAGTTGCTGTATTCCACAACTCATGTAAGCCTGTGTATTTTAGTTTAAGCTGGATGTTCTTCATCACCCAGGAAACCAGAAGTTCACCTGTTCATCAGGATGTGCCAAGAACTACTGCATAAATAACAGTTAAGCTAGAAGAAAATAAGCCCTTCTGGTGGACCTCCTGATGGCACCTGGGTTTGGGCCACTGTGTGACACAGAGTGTTGGACTGGATGGGCTATTGGCCTGATCCAGCATGATTCCTCTTGTGTTCTTAAGCTTTTAGGGAACAAGTGGGTATGAGCCCTACCTTTAAATGGAAGAATTTGGTTGAAGTGGGAACTGACAGGATGATCAGCAGCAAGCAATGAGCTAGAGATCTCTTGTTCAGATTACATTGTGGCCATAGGCAAGCCATTGTCTGTCTGTCCCCATTTATATTGTGGGAATGATAATTGTGGCCTATCATTTGGGAGTAGGAGCCAAAACACAGCCAGTTGTGTTTTTCTAGTGTACAGGAACATCCTCTCCTGGAAAAGTCTTCCATAAGTTGGTGTGGAGGCCATCTGGCACCTCATGAGGGTACGAAGGGCTGCCACTAAAAAGAAATATTGTGCCCAACCCCTGAGGAGTGGGCACATGGGAACATTTCCTACTTCTTTATGCGGGAGCGGGATAGACCTTGGCTCCAAGTATCATTGAAGGATTACTGAGGGCTAGATTGTACCATCAGTGGTCCCAATTGAAATAAGTGCTGCTGTACTGTAGAGTTTCAAATTGTAATGTGTATGAAGAGTGGGAAGATTTTAAAATTTGGTCTGTGCTCACAGAACACAAGCAAATTAAAGAATAGTTTAGTACAGCCTTCTGCCTAATTCTGACCTTTGAGCCAGGGCTCCCCCCCCCCCGAAGTGGGAGAGGGATTGTTCAGATATTGTTTCCCACCCGAAACCCAAGTGGACCTGGCTTGGATCCTACCATCCTCTAAGTAGCCTTCTTCCAATTGAGGTGGCTCTTTCTGCAATGGAAAAGCCACTAAATTTGAAAGACGCCTGCTTAAATTAGAAGAAGGCTTCCAACTTGAACCAAAGGAAAGACAGGGTATAAATATTTTCGTAAATAAACTTTGCGCAGTGGAATAGTAGGATACAAGGCAGGATCTACCACATGGTGTTCCAGTGTTTTCCATGTGAGGCGGCTGTTAAGCTAAATTATGATGTGGTTGTTCATAGTCGCTGTTTCTGTTTGTTTCCTGAAGTGTGTGACTTACAAATTTGGGTTGAGCACAAATGTTCCTATGTTTAATGAGATTATTTTAGGAATCCCATTTAAAATATTAAATATTTGTAGTACCAGCTGAAACTTTTTACCATACTGTATTTGTTCTTTATTGTTTGCTTTTTAAAAGTAACCTTAGTTTTCCTTTGTAATTGTACCTCTGGTTCCATGCTGGCAAACAACGTTCTGAGGGAAGGGATTTATTGTATAAGTACAGTGGAAGCCAAATGGGTGGTATTTTGGTTGAGGTTATTCTGGTTGTACTTTTGGTTTAAATTTGCAAACTGAAGCGTTGGCGAACAAACACCTTGCATCCGGCTTCATTTTATTTCACTGCTGTTTTTTAATATCACTGTAGTTGAGACTGCAAGAGCTGAATCCTGAGAGCTTTGATCTTCCCTGCCTGCTGAGACTCATCCAGGCAAATGTTAACCTTTGCTCTACAAGAGATGGTTGTTTGTATCCAGAGGTGAAGTCAGCTAGAACTTCAGGTTCATGACCCTTCTTTGCTTAACCAGCGACAAAATGCAAACAGCCTGTCATGGATTTGTATGATTAAACATATGCGAATATGACGCCCCCCTCCACTTCCCTCCCTCAGAGGCAAGATTTTCCCTCCATTTTTATTAGCCTTTACTGACTGAGCCACCCTAGTAATGTGTTTTCTTCTTTGCTGAAGAACTCTGGCTGTCCCACCCTGTCACAGTATGGTATTTTGGTTGTTGGCCCAGCCCAGGAACCTGTGGGAAGGATCGGGAGCCCCCAACTTAAAT